TTTTTTTTTTTTTTTTGTCCTGGAGATCAAACTTGGGTCCTTATGCTTGGGAGGCAGGCAGCAGAACCACTGGGCTAAATCCCTGGCACTGTTCTAATCTTGTCATTCACTAGTTGTGTGATCTCTGTGAACCACAGGTTTCCTGTCTAAAAAATAGTAAAATGAACCTATAATGGCTTTTTAAAGGATTAAGTGATGTTTATCACAGTACCGTCACATTGTCAACACATGATAAATGTTAGATTCAACTTTGATCCAGGCTTCCTTAATTTTCCTTCTAGTTTCCTCTGTTCACAATACTTTCTTTCCTTCAGAACCACTAAATCAGTTAGTTTTTATCCAGCTGGGAGTATTAGAAAGGAACATTTATACATTGGACCCACCTTTATTTGTTCATTCCAATTAAAAATAAAAATAATTGGAGTAGTAGTGAATGAACCACAAACTCAAAAGCAAAGACAGGCAATGAAATCTTATGGCAGAACTTTGTTATAAAATAACCATGCTGAAGATACACAATATATTTATATTAAGTATTTTTAAGTTAGCATAGAAACAAACATATACAAAATTTAAATTTTTGTATTTGTAACTAGTGAAGCTATGACTCTTGAGATTCCATTAAATGTTAGTTGTACAAGTACAGTTCTACCAAGTATAATTCCATACCATAATATAATTTAAAAGGAAATTTCTCTATGACTCTTACATTAAAAGTGATCTAGGGGCCAGGGATTTATTTAGCTCAGTGGTTCCACTGCCTGCCTTGCAAGCACAAGGACCAGAGTTTGATCCCTGGAACACAAAAAAAAGTGATCTAATTTAACTCTACCAGTAGTATTTCTTGTATCTCCTTCTCTCCTTTATTCACATTCAAATGAATCTGCATAAAAAATAATACCATTGCAGGTTCTGAGGAGCAAGTTCATTTAAATGAAACATCAAGGCATTCATTTGTTTGTTTATTTATTCTTGGGGGGGTTTGAAATAGGGTCTCACTATGTAGTTGAGACTGACCTAGAGCTGACTATGTAGCCCAGCCTGGTCTTGAACTCACAGTGACCCTCCTGCCTCAGCCTCCCCAGTGCTGGGATTACAGGTGTGCGCTGCCACGCCCACCTCTTATTACATATTTGTAGGTTTTTGTTTTTTTTGGTACTAGGAATTGAACTGGGGACCTTGTGCTTGCACAGCAGGTGGCAGAACTACTAAGCTAAATCCCCAGCCCTATTTGTAGGTATTTAAGTAACATTAGAATTAAAAGTATCAGCAGACACGAAGGAAGCCAAGAAAAAAATTTTTTCTTCAAAGGATGTGGTCAACTCAAATTTAAGAAATTTCCTCTACACTACTGCTACAGAAAGCTTTCTAACTCACAAATTTAAGTATTTTTCCATCCTGATCAATTTTGTTCAGTAGCTTTCTAAGTCTTTAATCTAAAAGGTAAAACCTTTGCATGGTCTAATAACATTTCTTCTCCCGTCTCTACATTAATTCCCCCTCCTTCCCTTCTTTCTTCCCTGCTTTCCTTCCTCTTTTCCAGCTTTAATGAGTTGAGCAACTCTGTTGCACAAAGCCTTTCCACTATGATGTTTCTGCCTTGGAGCCAGCTGACCATGGATTGATGCCTCTCAAACTATTAAATAAAATAATTCTTTCCTCCTTTAAGTTATTTTTTTCCTGGTATTTGGTCACAATGACAAAAATCTGACTAATACAATCTACTTTATGCCAAGCACTGTGCTAGATCCAAAGAAAACAGAAGTTTCAAGATAGCTATAGGACATAATCCCTGGTTTATGGAGTTTACAGCAATCTAGTATGAGAGACAGACAAAAACAATCAAGCAAATAGATATGTTAGAATGTAGTTAATACTACAGAGTAAATCAATGGCATGCAAAGCTAGAGAATAACGGATGAATGGTCTTCAAATATGGAGGCTAGGGAAAGCCTTCGCAAGGAGGAGAGATTTAAGGTGAGCTGAAAGATGAGAGAAAAACAGCTTAGCTTCTAATTTATGAGGTCAAGTGGGAGGAGTGACAGAAAGGGAGAGGGTTGTCTCTGAGTCAGGAAAGAATTTGGCTTCTTGAAGACATGGGATAGCCAGTGTGGCTACAGAGTGGTAAGCAGCAGTGTGTGAGATAGGAGGTAGAAGAAGGCAGAGCCCACTACAAGGCTTGGGAAAAGCATTGCAAAGTGTAAACAAGAACTAGTATGATCTGGCCTACATTTTAACATGACCACTCTGGCTGGTAAGTCTGGAATGGATTGGAGGAGGACAAAAGAGAAGTATAGCAATCAGGAGTAATGTGGTGGCATGGACCAGAGAAAGGAGTATATATATATATATAT